AGTTCAGCTTTTTATATTTTAATGATCCTATAAATTCATATATGTTTTTGGAAGAGTTATCAAATGATATAAGCTGTCAAGAGATAAAAAAAACTTTAACAGGTAACTTTGCACTGTCTGTTAATACGGGTGCGAATAATAATAATTAACTATTACCTACGAAGTAAAAAATAATATAAATTCATTTCTAGTTAAATAAATTCTCTGCACAATTAAACTTTAATAGGACTATGGATTGGTCATACAAAAATTTATCAGTTTTTCCGCTAAGAAGAATTGTACAAATCCTACAAAATAATTTCCTTTCATCATTTAATAATTTATATTTTAAAAATTGTACAAAAAAGTTACTACTTTTTTTATTTTGATACATGGCGTACAGAGATTTTACTAAAACTAAGATTCACTTTGTTATAACCACTTCAAAGAAACTTAACGCACTGACTTATATGTAAACTATTACTAGTAATAATATTTATTATTGTGAATAGTTACTCTGTGTTTCACTTTTTTAAAAGTTGATGCTAATGTAATAGAGCTCTGCGGGTTAATAATATTAGAGGAATTGGACATGACGCATTTAATGAATCTTTAAAGCAGATGTAAGCAATTGCTTGATAAAATTTAGATTTACTTTAAGAGTTTAATCGTTGATAGTAAAGTTACTCTCAATCATACTGTTCTTTGTGGCTCGCGTACGCATTATTAAAATAAGCTTTATTTTACAACGACCAATGTACTTATAAGAAAAAATTCTTGTTGGTGATCAAGTTTTTAATGCTCTATGCATTAACCGACTACTAGAAGAATAAATACTGACAGTTCATAAACAGCTCCCTTACTTTATATTTAATCAGTACAAGCTTTCTCATTTAATATAATTTATACTTTTTTAAGTATGAATATAGAAAATAACCTTTTATATTAGTTTTATTATCGACTACGTTAGCACAACTTATAAAATATTAGTAATTTGACCCACGCTTAATTCTAATACGGTACTAAATGAAAAGGTTATTTTTAATTAATCTTGTTCCAGTCGTTCGGCAAAACATCCTTATATTAATCCTTCTTTCCAGGCATCACTTATTATATGTTCGCGACCTTAAGGCCACTTCAAAATTCTACGAATACCATGGCCATGATTTTAAAGGGTAGTATAAAAGTCACAAGTTGTAATGTTAATAAGCAAATAACTTTTTCGAAGCGGCGTAAGGTGGCAATTTTAGTAATTAGAGGCCGAGTTTCGTATTTTACCCTGTGTTAGGTCAAGGGTTATGTCTTGAACTAATAAACTTTACTTACAAATAAACAAACTCCATAACTCTTATACAACATAAGGTCGATGGACACGCCGGCTTGACCATTCAAGAATGTTTTATCTTTTTTTAACACTGGCATGCTACTGTCAAAATTTAGAAGCACTTTAAACGGTCTGATTTTGATTTCACCGCCTCGAGGAGGTTAAGAAATTATTGTTCACCATTCCCTTCTCCCGTAGGGTTCCCGTGGCTGTCCAAAATGACTGAGTGGTTTCGCAGAAGCGTATTAGACCGGGATTGGTCACGTTTAATATAGTATATACTAGTAAATAATACTATTCGTATACTGTAATTTCCTAATGCCATTCTAAGATGCTACCATTTATGAGAAGTAAGCGCTCTTTAGCGCACCACAACAAACTATACAAGTATTCAGCTCGATGTAGCACAAAGTCAAACCGAGCCAATCTAATTAAAAATGTTATGATTTAGTTAATAAACTTCTCACTTTGCTGGACTAATGCAATTTTTAGCGTGATAAAAGGATTGAGTGCTATTTCAAAACCGAAATCAAGCTAATCCTAAAGCATCTAGAATCGATGCAAATAGTGTTATCTATAATACCCATGACAGCAACCTTCAGAGTTCCGAATGGTAAAAAACAAAGATATAGTTCAAGGAAACACCTCAGGATTTCGGACGCATCTAGTCAATCCAGATGCAGACATTGCTACCACCTGGCCTTAAATTACAACAAAGTCAAAGGGCCTACCAACACCCTTCGTCTAAGAAAAAACGGTTCAGTAGGCAATAATCTAGTATATCAACATCGATTTGATTATCGAGAGAATATTCTTAAGCTAAAATCTAAGCTGCAAACCATTTTTAGTCTAACACGGTTCGCCATAATCCTTAATGAACTCAAAAGAATGGAACCTTTTAAAGATCTCGAGGGACTTTTTAGTTTTCTCATTTTCAAGAGCAGCCTATCGCTCCGAGAGGGCTTTTGGCTGTTAGACTAGACCACTCTTCCCTTAAAAGCACGATAACCATGTTCATGCTTACTGTGTTCTGATCATTTAGTTGAAGAGATAGAATTATTATTTACGAGAGCCTACTGTATAATTTCAGCTCAAGTCAAGTCAAGAAGTTTCGAAATATAGTTAGCCAGCGCCCTTCAATGTAGTGACTACATTTCACTTGCCATTTATCTTTGGATGGCGTCCGATAAGTAAATCATCGGGTAAAGTTTGAAGCCACATCGGATCCTATAGGCAGAGTTCAACGACGAATTTCACCTTAGGGCCGATTTTTTTCGGTCGCTTAACGAACAGAAACCTACGGCGTTGTTGTGTTAAATCGTTACTTTATTAAAAGTGTACAACATTGCAGGAAAGCGCCGAGGACAGCCAACCGTCAGGTCTCCTATTCAGAGCCCAACCATCTAAGTTGAGGTATAACACTGGTCTTTCGACCTACCTAACTTTAGCTTAAGACCAAATAATATTATAGATCACTGTGACCACATGGCAATATAGGATGCCCACGCAAGACAAGCGTTGAGGATATGAAAAAGATAAAACGCTGGCACATTCGCGAGCATCGAGAAAAAAAGTTTTCCCATTCTCTTATATATGCTTTTTGGAGGGCTTAATTATACAAAATACTACCCCCCCCCCCCTTTGGAGGGGTAAAATAGTGTTCATACCCAGACTAGTTAATCATCTTTTTCAATGTGAGATAAAGATGCTAGATATTAATATATATTATCTTTTTTATATACATTTTTGATAACAAAATTATATAACCTATCTTACTTTAAATTATATATATATTTATATATCTTGTTACCTCTCGCTCTCCCTTCTTATACATACAACAAAAATTCTAGGCGCCTATTAAGCAGTGGCGCTAACGAGCGCTGTCCAATAATTGGTACATTAGCTTTATTTGCGAGTTTTTGGTTGGTGTGTCGAGGAAACAATAAGGTTTGCCGTAACAGAGAATAAAGACTACGATTGCCATCCACAGATGGATTGTCGCGTCGTGAGTAGACTCAAGGAAATGACGTAGTGTTTAATAAATCTTCTATGATTGTAGGGTCCTGCAAGCTTGAGCGAAACTAATAGCACCCGAACCTTGTAGGAATGCTCTCCAAACTACTCTTATGAATATGGTTATCCTGCTTAAATCTTGTTGAGTTGAGGCACGATCGATACTGTGGAGAGACGAAGGCTTATTGCTACTTGTCCAAAGGCACGCTCTTAAAAATGGTAAAAACTACGTATGAAATAGGTTCACTAGACTAGTGTCATCTTCCTAGGATCAGAGAAGCTGTTGCTTTAGTCTCAAACTTAACTATATCTTTTGATAAGGTACTAGCTTCGATAGCTATGAGCGTTGTACAACATACTGAGACTAATAACCTATGATCCAAAACTAACTTATGTGATCCCGTGATGTATACTAGGTTGCCTTTCAGCGACGGTCCTTTGTGAAAATCAATGGAAGTTGTGTGCTAACCTATTTATGTTTACTTTTAGCATATTTTATGAACACGTATAAGCTTTATAGATACTTCTGCTTGTAAGTCACTACCTGCGTGCGAAGACTTTTGCGTGTGAAAAGGTCTATACAGCGAGCAAAAAAATGGCACTTGCCCTCGTCTAGTCGGAGTCATTTGACTACCGACTATAGACTAGCGCGTGTAACGGTGCTGATTACTATATATATTGAATAATTCTTATATGTAGAGTAATGGTACTGTTGGCTATTCTTGGCCAGCTTTGGGCTGGGAGCACTCTCTCGCTTAGTTTACTCTTCGGTACGGTTGGCTCGACCGCTGATGAACAGTGCTAGTTCCTATATGGGATCTTCCCATACTAGGGGCTAGCACTGTTCTGAATAGCGCTATTACCTAGTATATATTAGATATAAGGCGGCGAGCCCCCGTTCATAACTTATATAGCAACGATGTAAAGTATCGTTTCGAAAAATAATTCACGGCGCCTCTGTCATTGAGCGTGGCACGATAGTTTGCCTCTGGTGAAAAGTAAACGATAAAAAAATTCGATTCGCCATTGAGATTTACGTGCGACCGCTTTATTAATGGTAAAATTATATGTATATATACTTAAAAAATATTAAATTAAACACAAAGGATCAAATTAAAATGTACCAATCAAGTTCGGTGTCAACTAAATTGTATGGTTGTATGAAGGTCATATAGTTGATAATAATGTCTTGTTTATTTATTTTAACTTTATACGGAATTTTTTTTTTTTTTTATCAAAATCTATACTGTTTGCCTCGCAGGGTTAATGGTTGGCACAAAAATGTGTCCACTGCTTCTAAACTCTAATATCTTCTAAACCTCTCCTTTTAAAAGAAATCCTTAGAAAATTATTTATTTATGTCTGCTGTATGGCATCTTCAATGGTGCTGCCTTTTTTCTTTTTACTACAGATCTGTGTCATCCTTGGTCCAATCTGCTACCTCAAAAGAGTGAAATGCGCTGCGCGTCGTTTTGAGCTTGGGATCTATCACTATCATATGGTCAGTATAGCTTGTTCTCTTCCTCTTAAAAAATTAAGCTGTTTAAATATATCACAAAGGATGGGTGTTCAAAAATGACATGCCTTCAGTAGCAAAGACGAGAATAAGAATGAAAATCAAAGCGGATAAGAGACACAACTCTGCGTTTTTTGTCTTCTTGGTTATTTAACTGTTTATGTTACATTTTCTTTATATTTAAATATATGATTATCCACTTTTTATTTCATTTTTTAATTCTTTTTTTCCCCAAAGTGGGAGTTAATAATTTAAGCATTAATATCTCTAGCCTTTATAATCTAAGTAAAAAAATGCAGTTTAAAGTTTTTAACTATTATGATTAGTCCATTATAATAATATTTTAGTAGACAATTTTTGGAGATTGTAACTTTAAAAACTCTTACTATAAGAATCTTGGGAGGTTATTTTTGTCTCCACAGTGCAAATTCGGTATTAGCACAAGTTACTCTTTTTTTCAATAGCCTTCGCTTAACTTACCGGCCACCTGCCAAAGTCTTTAAAAAAAAAAGATAATGACTACCTCTTCATTACGGGGTAATAAAATGGTCGCGCTTTCTCATCCCTTCATTCCGAAGTTCGTAGTCATCATGCGCAAATATATATATCCCGAGTAAGACTTAGCTTTATAAGACTTAAGGTAAAAGAGGGTAATAAAAGTTGTGTACACGTTATTTATCGACCGAAGATGCGGGTCGTCACCGTAGCTCAGCGGTTAGAGCATTGTCAAGAGCCGCGGGTTTGATGCCCGTCGGTTAAAACTCGCAATTTTCTGGTCTTGTAGTTTCGTGCACAACTCCTCTAGAAACAAAAATTCTGGTAGAGGGGCTAGGTAACGAACGAATTTGTGAAAATACGCAATTTATTATGTTTGCTTAAGAAAAGCAGGAAAGGACATAGCTTAACGCTAGCCAAATATAAAAATTAGAAATCCTGAATGTTGCCGCTGACCGGATATTGAGGGATGAGTGGGATTTCCGGCGTAGAGGGTTGAGTGCTCTGTGAAGAGGAGGGCTGGTCCGTCGGGGTATTTTCGGGAGTGAACGTACTTTGATAAGTAGGATTCGGAGGCTTCAGTGCATTACAATAGTTTTTATTAAAGCTGTTGTATTCCTTAATTTCCCCTTCATAAGTGCATCGGCCACTTTTATAATTTAAATTCTCATAATGAAGACGAGAGCAGCAAAGAAAATTTTCATCAAGAGTAATAAATCTTATAGACGTTAGATTATAATAAGGGATAGAACAGAAAATAAAAAAAAACAAGGATTTTGCTTACATTCTAGTGTTTGTATTAAAAGCTTCTGACTCAATTTCAGTTATTGGGTTCCCATCTGAGTGCCTATTATCAGTCGAAAAATAAAATTAAAAAGACATATGTTTTTATATCTACTCTTTTGTGCAAATAAATCCGAAAGCGTACAACTATAATAAAAAAGAATTTAGATTTGAAAATACACTATTTGAATAAGGCTTTATACTAAAACAAGACTTATTCTTGTTATTAAATGGTTCGGTACGATTTTGGCAGGTGTAGACTTATAAGTGAGTAAATTTGTTAGAAAACTCAAGTTATTACTTACAATGAATTCCTATAAATAAATAATCAACCATTCTGATGTTTACTTACAAATATTCTAAGTTTTGCAAGGACGAGAACATTGCTTTTCGGAGGGCAGTAAGTCGGTTTTCTACTAAGCCCCTTTTTGTACAACACGAGAGCAGTTAGCCTTAATATTAGAATATAAATTCTATAAGGAACTCATACAAAATTTCTAAAGCGCTAAGTTTGGCAAAGGGACTATCCTCTATTGATGATATGAGATTCCCTTTAAGATTCCTATATTAAATAATAAGTAAATGTAAATACCGTTAATGCATTTATAAGGCAAAGGAAAAAGAAAGGTAATATTCTATCACACTTTACTATTACTAAACTAGACCTTTCCTTGTTTTTAAATGGTTTAGTGCGGTTTTTCGTAGTTGTAGACTTATAAGTGAGTAAATTTGTTAGAAAACTCAAGTTATTACTAACAATGAATTCCTATCATTTTAAAATCAACCACTTTTTTTTTGATGTTTACTTACAATTCTATTAAATTTTGCAAGGACGAGAACATTGCTTTTCGGAGGGTAGTAAGTCGGTTTTCTTTTAAAATCCTTTTTGTACAACGGATAAGCAGTTAGCCTTAATATTAGAAAATAGATATAAAAAGCTATTACAAATATTCTAAAGCGCTTAGTTCGGCAAAGGCACGAGCCTCTATTGATGATATGCTATTTCTGTCAAGACACCTAAATTAAAAAGTGTCATAAGTTAAAGTGAATATCTGTATAGCATTCATAATGCAAAGGGAAACGGAAGGTAATATTCTATAACACTTTAATATTAGTAAAACTAGACTTTTTCTTGTTTTTAAATGGTTTAGTTTCCGTTTAGACATGTGTAGACAGAAATGGTTAAGGACAATTAGTTGTTTTTCTGTTATTTTTCTTAATAAATTTTTTTTAGGAATTCGATAACATTAATGTCAGTATAACTTTATGCAAGGGAATATTATATTCACAAAGTTGGGTAAATGCTAATCTGTCTTGGTTGGAAAACAGAAGAAATTAAAGAGCAAATATTTAAATTATCAATATCAGATTTCTACCTTATTTGAAGGTACAGTTAGGAATCAATACTAGAATTATTAAGAGGGACAAAATTAGACTATTATTTTTAATATATAATTACCAACAAGTGTGTAACATTAGTGGAAAGATTTTTGCTGGGCAAAGTTGTTAAATTGCGGAGGGAAAGGTCCCTTTTCAATTTGCATGATAGATAAAAATTATAATGAATTTTATTAAAGTGAGTTTTGTGTAAGCATAGATGAAAGAATTTTTTTATTTAGGAATAGTGTTAAAAGTAAGAGTTTTAGGAGGGCTTCATTGAAAAAAGCTTTATTAAGATATAAAATAGTTAATGAAAATTATTATAGGCGTTAGTGAGACTTAAGTCATTATAACGAAAAAAAAGGAATTGTCTTCGTTTAAAGTGAATTGAGGGTATGCACAGAATTGGCAAGTATTCCAAGAGTACTTACCAAGTGTTGCGGTATTTATGTGTAAATTGTTGACCACGTGAAGGGGTAACGTTTTTGAGCCACAGTGAGGATAATAGTAGAATCATGCAAGAAAACATGGTGGCTCGCATTAGGAGATAGGGTAGGGGATAGGGTAACAGAATTGTAACCTAGAAAAAAATACTCTTCCTTTGCTTTTATAGTATTTTTAATATTATAAATAAAGACATAAGGAGATTAGAAAGGCAAACTTTAACCATTTATTGGTTTTGTGGTATTTTTGGTTTAAGATATTAATGCATTAAATAGTTAAGGATACAGTTGAATGGCAAGCACAGGTCAAAAGCGAATTAATGTCGTATTATTTTAATATTAGTATGATCGCAAAGACAATTTTCGTTTTGGTGGGCGAAAGATTCGTCAAATAAGTGAGAAAAAATAGTAGAATTACGCTAGAAAACATTGTGGCACAGCACAGGGAAGCCCGGTAAAAGGATTATAACCTACCAAAAAATGCTTTTTCTATGATAAAGTAGTTTTAAGATTTTTAATGTTATAAATGAATACATTAATGAGATTAGAAAAGCAAACTTTAACCATTTATGGGTTTTGTGGTTTTTTTGGTTTAAGATACTATGCATTGGGTTAGGGTTAGATGTAATGATAATCTTTGCAAACAAAAATTATCATAAAGCTTCTTGAAGATACTCAAACTATTTCTTTTATCAATAAACTTTCGTATGCGGTATAGAATAGTTTTATTAATAAAAGTTTTTCGCTAAAATCTCCAGGGGTATCCTTGAATCAAGCTTGACTGATTGTTCAAAAAAGTATCTTGAATCAGGATCCTTTCTGCTGCCGGGGCTTCTTCAGTGGAATTTGAGGGCACTTGGTAAGCGAAAAAGCTAAAAATTCTAGAAGAGGGCTTTTGAACCTCTTATATACCTTTTCATGTTTATACTAGGAAAGTGGTTTCTAGAATAATTAGAAATGTTCGGGAACATTTCATATAAAAATATATGTTTATTATAAACGTATATAAAAGTCAAGAAGTGAAGCCCCTCCAATGTGGAAAGCTTATTTCTATCCAAGTCGTTGAATGAGAGATAGCATTATTTTAAAATACCGCATCATTTCATGATGATAGTAGTAGATTAAATCTTACAATTTTTTAAATTAATAGGGCTGCAACTTGTTCTTAGTCAGACAGCTTTAAATTGCAATTGGATATATTCCTTTTATAATAAATGTTTAATAAATTATATTATTAATAATAATTAAGTATAGAAGCATATATATATATATATATCTTAGTTAGAAACGTTTTGGCCTAATACAAAACTATTATTCTTAAGTATGTTAGCTAACTTGAAAAAAAAAAAAAATTTACCTAGTAACTTCATTTGGAATTTTGATGGTACTAATGACTCACCTAAAGACTTGCAAAAGTTTAAATTTATGCTCAACTATTTCTTTAAGATAATTCAGTACTTAATGCATGGTACACATTTACAAATACGGTATAACCGCTAAGTGCTTTCTAACGGGGGGAACATCTTTGAGAGCTTTGGGTCTTCCCAGAACGTACAGCAAAGCAGAACAGGTAAAAGGAAGGTTTTTGGCTCCCTCTGCTATACAAAAATAATAAGCACAGCCCCTCTCGCGTTACTCCCATATAGGGTCATGAAATAGTACACCTTTTCTGCCTTATTTTAAGTGGAAAAAAATATTTTTTTGTAATAAGGCGTTTTAACTTGACCGGTAAGAAGTCTACATTAAATTAAATAGTAAAGTTTATTCTAAACTTAAAATTAATAAAATTTCCTTAGTAAATATAATCTCAAAGAAAAAAAGGCTTAAGTAATTATATACTTTTTTCTCTATACAAGAAAAACAATGCTGATAATTATCACGTTCGACAGCACTATTTTATTTTTAAGGGGTACATCTTAAATTTCATATTTTGTATCTTAGAAAAAATTCATTGGCACTTTAACCACGCACTTGTTCTATAGAATAGAGACATATAGTAAAATTGTAGCCTTCTACCAATTCACAAAATTTTTGTAAACAACTATACACCTTGAGTAAGAAATACATTATATATAATAACCTTTGAAAATGAAGTTGTTTACTGTAGTAAGTTTTTTATTTATGCAAATATCTTTTTAACTTAAAGGCGCCCTGAAGGTGGGGAATTTAACTTGGGTAAATTCCATACAGAAAAACAACTAATTTGACTAGGACCCCAATGCAACATATTTGGAGAAAAGTATCAGTCTTTTCGTAGTAGCTGTTCCAAAAAAACATTTGTTTGAATTCATCGTAATAAAAATCCTACAACGCAAGTACAAAAGAATGCCACCTATTCAGGAGAATAACAATATTTTGAAGGGCAAACAGTACTAACATTAAATTACTGCTAATTTAACAAATTTTAACTTCATTATACAGCGAAAGAGTTAACTTATCAAAGGTAAACTGTGAACTTGTTTTGACCATTTTTTACCTGAATTCTATGAGGTTACTTTTTTTTCTATTAAACGCATTTGTAAACATGAAACGCATTGAGATTAATAAAACACATTACGCTACGTTATCGTTATAATCAATGGAATTTCTATAAGGATTTGTTATGGATTTAGTAAGAAGGTGCTAAATATCGCAAATCACAGAAAGAATAATCCAGACGCTAGCATTGTTGTAAATTATTCAACAACATTTTATTCCACCAAAAATATAAATAAAAATTACAAATGTTTTACTATTGTGTATATAAACAATATTTTATTCTCAATATAAAATTTTTATAATTAGAAAAAATATATTTTTTAGGAGAAAAGTGCATATATTAATAAATTAATTTGGCGAAACTTTTTTTTTATACATTCTTTTAATAGTGATTAATAAAAAGTTTTAAATAAAAAAACTTTTAGTATTATATTGTAAAAAAATTTAATAAAGTATATTAAGCTTGAAAATTAAACAGAAAATTTGCATCTAACATTCTTTTTTCATACTATTTATTAATATTATAATAACTTTTGATTAAAATATTTATTAAATTAGCATTATTTTATAGTAATAACTTATATATTAAATAATTAGAATGAGTAAAAATATTGAGTAGAAATAAATTTGAGATGAAATTAGTTTGGTTCTTATATAACATAATTTATTAATTAATAAAATTTTATAAATTCAATAATCAAAAAAATTTTATATAACAAATCAAAAAGTGCACAAGATGAATCTAGTTTTCTTCTTGTGTATTATTTTATCAGTATTATATTGAAATATAACTTTCAATAAAAAACAAAAAAAAAGAATTTTAGTATTATTATATATTTAAAATTAATTAATTATAAAGATCGGTAAACAAAAACTTATAAATTTAATTTATTTCTTTTAAAAATATATGTTAATGTATAGCTATTAAAAAAAATACTTTAAAAAAAAGACCTTTTTTGTTATTTAAATTAAAATTCATATAAAATAAATTGTCATAAAGAATTTATAAAAGAAAAATTTGTACTCAAGTAAAATCTCATTATTTTCTTTTATACAAATATATAAAATATTATAATAATTATTAATGAAAATACTTGAAAAAAAAAGTTTTTTAGTATTATTTATATAATAAAAATAGAAATAAGAGGTATAAAGTAAAAGGTAAATACAAACTCAAGTTTGAGTTAAATTTTTTACACTATATTTATTAATATAACAGTGTAAATATTAATTAGAATACTTCAAATAAAGCCTCTAAGGAATATTTCATAAAAATATATAAATAGTTACGAAAATTAATGAAAACGTGTGAAGGAATTTCATACTTTTACACTGTTTATTAATAGCAATTAATTAAAAAACTTAAACTACTGAATTTATAGAGGTACTGATTTCTTACCTTTTATAATTGCACTCATAGTATTTTAAATTAAATAACTTTGAACAACGAAAAATTGCTTAAAAATAGCTTACACACTAAATTATAAGGTTATTAGACCAACTTATTAGTATAAATCATTGCGTGCTAATAAATGAATTTATAACGTACTAACTTGTCAAACTTTAATAATTGTCACTTACTTTTGTATAGTTTAATAGCTTTGAACAACAAGAAAGTTTTTTTTTTTAAACTTTTGATGCGTTTTTCCTCACTGCCTATACATAACTCTATAAAATCATGTGTGCTTAAAGTTAGATTTGTAAAGTAATAGTTTGCTTATATACTTAACTGCCCCTTACATTGTTCTAAATTACAATGGAAAACAAAAAGTTTCTTTAAAAACTTTTAAAGCGTTTCAGTTCAAACTGCTTAATAGTAGCTTCCTACTACATAGTTTATTATAAACTCGTAGTGTTTGCTACTAAGGTAATTTTATAAACATTAATAGTTAAGATACTTGATTGTCACTCACATTATCTAATTAAAATAACAATGAACAACAAAAAGTTTCTTTTTAAAACTTTTGAGGTTGTTCTTTCTCTCCTCTTTATAATAGTTTATTTACTAAATAAATTGTTTTGTATGCTAATAAGCTGGTTTGTAAAAATTAATAACATAATAATTAACAGTATTATAGCTTGTTTTCTATCAAAAAGTTTTGATAGCTCAAGTTTTTTAAATATATTTATTTAGCAAAGAGAGTCATTAATTTTTGTGTTCCAGAAAATTTTTTTAAATTCAATAAATCTTTTTTCTTACTTGTGCTAGTTTTGGGTAAATTAATTTATTATAAACCGTTTTTGGGCTGAGATGCTGGTTTTGGGTATAGCAATTTTTTTTTATTATTAATTTAGCCAATTCTAGCATGTTCCCTTTGTTTTTTTCTTTATATAATAGACAATCATTTGTATATTTGTTAAAGTTAATTACTTTTTTTTAGTTTACACGCTATCGATAAGTTAACTTAATAAGAAATTCAAGTGTTTTGATAAATTTGGTTTTCTGTGAAGTAGCAATTATTGAATCTACTTTATTCCATCTTTTCTTTTTAAAGGTTTTAGTAGCGCGAGGTCTAGTTATTTTTTTTTCTTTTAGCTTTGTTATTTTCGTTCTACTGAATGACTCCAATAAAAAAGCAAGATTCGGGAAGTACAGTATTTGAGTATCTGCAACAGAAGGCACAATTCCTATTTGTTTTGAAAAACTTTTTTAATGCCTGCGATCGTTGTACGTAAATCCAATAGCCTATTTCACTTTTTTTTCCATTTTTTCCTAGGCTGATAATAGCTTAAAAAAAATCTCCCAAGCTGAAAAGCAAGCTTTTTAATTAACAGTTAATAGGAAAAATAGTTGTTTTGGAGATTTTATTTTTTATGAGAAAAGCAGAAGTTATTTTTTTAATGTTTCATTTCCGTAACCAAGTCGAAAATAGTTGATTATAATTATAATCAAGTTTATTTAATATTTGTCCCCAATTTACACTGTCTCTGAATCTCTTCTCGAGAATAACAGGGGATAGCCATTATTGAAGAATGCACACTCGAGAGGGATTCTATTACGTGCTCTTCGGCAAATATTATAGTCAAAAGTTCATATATCCATATATAATTTTTTATTAAACCTAACTCATAACGCCGATATATTTAAAAGTTTAATGCAATGCAATGCTCTACTAAAAACACCGTTGTACTAAATATATGATGACGTAAAAGCAGGTAATAGACTTATTCTAAGTGTTTCGGAGCAAGTAAGGTACAGAAAAAAATTAAAAAATAAACTTCATTAAGAATTATTATGACGTCGCCTTTTATGGTTTATACAGTAAAAACCAGTACCACCAAGTAAAAGATAGCGTAATACGTACTAAAAATGTTTATTTAATATCCCTACCCCACTATAGTGAGATCAGGAGATAATTTCAGTATTAATACTCGTCGTTTAAGTAGATTCTGGCTTACTTGGTGTAGGGCACTTAGTTTGAAAAGAATCATTAAAGATTTCTAGGTTTCCTTCAAAAGTGCAGTTTCCGTTAACAAAGCTTAATTCATTGTAGAGCATCCGCGAGCAGCAAAGAAAATTTTGGTCAAGTATTAATTTGCTTGTAATTTTTAAAGGTAGTTAAAAAAATTTTGTAAAAATGCAATACTAAGGAATAGTAAATTACATGCCATGAGGGTACCAAGAAACCGCAAAAGCTTTAGCCCCAATCTCAGTTAGAGGATTTCCTGTAAGGTCCCTAATGGTTATGTAAAAGATAAATAATAATAAATATACTTAACAGGAGGAACACCCACCGTTGCTCCGAAAAGTCTTATTATATAAGCAGTTTTACAAAAATTATTTCTAAAATGCATTTCTACAGGTCTTTAATAACCTGACTAGACTGATAAACTGTGCGAAGCCTCGGCTTACGCGGTTTATTTAGATATTACAAACAGAAAGTTTTTGACGGAACCACTAAACTAAACGTTTAGGAAACTATTGGAAAAAGTATAATAAGATATGAAAGATGCCTTCAAAAGCAACACAACATGATATGTATATGCAAGAAAAAAACTAAAAAATATGCTAAAACGTATAGAAACAAGATCCCTAAAAGTATATAAAAAGATAAGAAGTTTAAAATTAAAATAAGTTGTAAGGTATGTTACCACACCTTAATTAATAGTAATGTAAAAAAAAAAGTACAAATAGAGAGTTATAGTGGTATTACTAAAGAAAAAAAATGTAATGTATAAAATAGGCGAAGATTGAAGTAAAAATGGGTAGCATAGAAAGTGCAACATAGCTCCTATAATCGGTTTATAGTTATCTTAGAATAATAGAGCTTCCAAATTAAGGTGCCTTATAAAACCTTCCTCAAGAGGAGTAACGAATAGAATAAATAACTTACAGTTCCGTCAAGGCAATGAGATGAATAAACGAATCGGCTTCAATTGATTTTATTTTGTTATTGATTATGTTTCTAGATATAATATTTTATTATCATTGCAAAAAGATATAAAAAATACTAAACACGATTATTAAGACTACTAATAACAATATAATGTTAGTAAGCGGCGAACAATTTATGATTAATGAATAAAATAAATGAACCGAATATTATAAAATAATATATTTTATGATAGGATCATAATTATAAGCTTACAACAAAGTCAAATTAGGGAGGCCATAGAACATCCCTTTGATGATGGAGGTAAATTGGTTAGAACCTAAATTCCTTAGAGTTTTTATTAGTAGTAATATTAGAAGAAAAATTAAAAATAAGTATGGTAATATTTGAGCTTAAAATGCATCGATTTGGTACTATCATATTATTAAAAAAAAGAAATATATGGCAAAAAAAAAGGCCTTAGAAATAATTTAGTCTAGCTAACGAAAAGGGTTGTAGTTGAAATAGATTAGCAAGGTAATGCCTCTATAGTTTATCAATTAGCTTATATAATAATTCCAAGCGTTTTAATAAAGAATAAGAATCTTACAGTCCAGTCAAGGCAACTAGATGTGAAAACGAATCGTCTTCAATTGATTTTATATTGTTATTCCATAAAGTTCTACAAGTGATATGTTAATAACATTGCAATAGGATATAAGAGTTACTAAACACGTTTATTAAGACTCTTATAATATTATAAGGAAGTAACTATATAATTTATCGAGTAAGCAGCAAACATTTTATGATTGTTTCGAGTAGCATAAGTGAAAGAAATATTGTTATATACTAAGATATTTTATGATAAGATCATAATTATGGTCTTACAAATGATTCAATTTACGGAGACCAGAAAACATTTCTTTGCTAATGGAGGTAAGTTGGTTAAAACCTATATCCCTAGTAGTTTATGTCAGTATAAAATTAGAAGACAAATTAATTATAAGTATGGTAATAATTAAGCTTAAAATCCATCCATTTGGTCCTTTAACATTAGTTCAAAACAATATTTATAGGAAATATGAAAACTCAGAAAAAAATAAATTCCAGCTAACGAAAAGGGCTGTAGTTGAAATAGATTAGCAAGATAATGCCTCTAAAGTTTATTAATTGGCTTATGGAATAACTCCAAAACGTTTTAATAAAGAATAAAAATCTTACAGTCCAGTCAAGACAATGAGATGTGAAAACGAATCGTCTTCAATTGATATTATATTGTTATCCCATAAAGTTCTACAAGTAATATGTTAATAACATTGCAATAGGATATAAGAATTACTAAACACGATTATTATGACTCTTATAATATTATAAGGAAGTAACTATATAATTTATCGAGTAAGCAGCGAACATTTTATGATTGATTAGAGTAGCATGGGTAACGAGATAAATAATATATAATATAATATTCAATTATAGGATCATAATTATGGCCTTACAAATGAGTCAATTTACGGAGACCAGAAAACATTTCTTTGCTAATGGAGGTAAGTTGGTTAAAACCTATATCCCTAGTAGTTTATGTCAGTAGTAAAATTAGAAGCCAAATTAATTATAAATATGGTAATAATTAAGCTTAAAATCCATCCATTTGGTCCTTTAACATTTCAAAACAATATTTATAGAAAATATGAAAACTAAAAAAAAATTAAATTCTAGCTAACGAGAAGAGCTGTAGTTGAAATAGATTAGCAAGATAACGCCTCTATTGTTTATCAATTAGCTTATGGAATAACCCCAAGCGTTTTAATAAAGAATAAGAATCTTACAGTTCAGTCAAGGCAATGAGATGTGAAAACGAATCGTCTTCAATTGATTTTATTTTGTTATTCCATAAAGTTCTACAAGTAATATGTTAATAAAATTGCAATAGGATATAAGAGTTACTAAACACGATAATTAAGGTTCTTATAATATTATAAGGGAGTAACTATATAATTTATCGAGTATGCTGCGAACATTTTATGAATGATTAGAGTAGCATGGGTAACGAGATAAATAATATATAATATAATATTCAATGATAGGATCATAATTATGGCCTTACAATAAAGTCAAATTACGGAGACCAGAAAACATTTCTTTGCTGATGAAGGTAAGCTGGTTAGAACTTAAATTCCTTAAAGTTTACGTCAGTAGTTATATTAGAAGCAAAATTATTAATAAGTACGTTAATTATAAAGCTAAAAATCTATTTATTGGTCCTTTAATATTAGTGAAAAACAATATATAAAGGAAATATGAAAACTCAGAAATAATTGAATACTAGCTAACGAAAAAGGCTGTAGTTGAAATAGATTAGCAAGGCAATGCCTCTAAAGTTTATTAATTTGCTTATGGAATAAATCCCAAACGTTTTAATAAATAATAAAAATCTTACAATCCAGTCAAGGCAATGAGATGTGAAAACGAATCGTCTTCAATTGATTTTATTTTGTTATTCCATAAAGTTCTACAAGTAATATGTTAATAACATTGCAATAGGATATAAGAATTACTAAACACGATTATTAAGACTCTTATAATATTATAAGGAAGTAACTATATAATTTATCGAGTATGCTGCGAACATTTTATGAATGATTAGAGTAGCATGGGTAACGAGATAAATAATATATAATATAATATTCAATGATAGGATCATAATTATGGCCTTACAATAAAGTCAAATTACGGAGACCAGAAAACATTTCTTTGCTGATGAAGGTAAGCTGGTTAGAACTTAAATTCCTTAAAGTTTACGTCAGTAGTTATATTAGAAGCAAAATTATTAATAAGTACGTTAATTATAAAGCTAAAAATCTATTTATTTGGTCCTTTAATATTAGTGATAAACTATATATTTAGCAAATATGAGAAATCAGAAAAAATTCTAGCAAACGAAGAGGGCTGTAGTTGAAATAGATTATAAAGGTAATGCCTCCATAGTTTATCAATTAGCTAATGGAATAACCCCAAACGTTTTAGTAAAGAATAAGAGTCTTACAGTTCAGTCAAGGCAATGAGATGTGAAAACGAATCGTCTTCAACTGATTTTATTTTGTTATTCAATAAAATTCTACAAGTGATATGTTAATAACATTGCAATAGGATATAAGAGTTACTAAACACGTTTATTATGACTTTTATAATATTATAAGGAAGTAACTATATAATTTATCGAGTAAGCAGCGAACATTTTATGATTGCTTCGAGTAGCATAAGTGAAAGAAATATTGTTATATACTAAGATATTTTATGATTAGATCATAATTATGGTCTTACAAATGATTCAATTTACGGAGACCAGAAAACATTTCTTTGCTGATGGAGGTAAGCTGGTTAGAACTTAAAATCCTTAAAGTTTACGTCAGTAGTGATATTAGAAGCAAAATTAATAATAAGTATATTAATTAAAATCCATTTTTTTGGTCATTTAACATTAGTTCAAAACAATATATATAGGAAATATGAAAAATCAGAAATAATTGAATTCTAGCTAACGAAAAGGGCTGTAGTTGAAATAGATTAGCAAGGTAATGCCTCAAAAATTTATCATTTTGCTAATGGAATAACCCCAAACGTTTTTGTAAAGAATAAGAATCTTACAGTTCAGTCAAGGCAATGAGATGTGAAAACGAATAGTCTTCAATTGATTTTATTTTGTTATTCAATAAAGTTCTACAAGTGATATGTTAATAACATTGCAATAGGATATAAGAGTTACTAAACACGTTTATTAAGACTCTTATAATATTATAAGGAAGTAACTATATAATTTATCGAGTAAGCAGCGATCATTTTATGATTGTTTCGAGTAGCATGGGTAACGAGATAAATAATATATTATATAATATTCAATGATAGGATCATAATTATGGCCTTACAAATGAGTCAAATTACGAAGGCCAGAGAACATTTTTTTGCTGATAGAGGTAAGTAGGTTATCACCTAAATTCCTTAAAATTTATTTCAGTAGTAATATTAGAGGCAAAAATTAATAAGTATTATAATAATTAAGCTTAAATCCATCCATTTCGTCCTTAAATATTAGTGATAAACAATATGTATAGGAAATATAAAAGCTCAGAAAAAATTAAATTCTAGCTAACAAAAAAAGCTGTAGTTGAAAAAGGTTAGCAAGGTAATGCCTCTAAAATTTATCAATTATTTTATGGAATAATCTAAACAAGCGTTTTAAGAAAAAATAAGAATCTTACAATTTCTTTAATGCGATGAGGTGAGAAAACAAATCGTATTCAACTGATTTTATTCGAATATTCCATAAAGATCTTAAATTAATAAGTTAATAACATAGTTATAAAATTTAAAATATAGCGAACACGATTGTTAAGACTCAATAATATTATAAGTAACTATTTAATTTTAGTAAGAGATGAACAATTTATGCTTTATTTGAATAACATGAGTGAATAGAATATTATATAATAAAATATTTTATGATAGGATCACAATTATGGCCTTACAATAAAGTCAAATTACGGAGGCCAGAGAACATTCCTTTGCTGATGGAGGTAAGTTGGTTATTACCTATATCCCTTATAGTTTTTATCAGTGGTAATATTAGAAAAAAAATTAAAAATAGATATGGTAATAATTAAGCTTAAAATGCATCCATTTGGTACTTTCATATTAGTGAAATAAAAATATATATGGCAAACAGAAGAACTCAAAAAAAATTAAGTCTAGCTAACGAAAAGGGTTGTAGTTGAAATAGATTAGCAAGGTAATGCCTCTATAGTTTATCAATTAGCTTATGTAATAATTCCAAGCGTTTTAATAAAGAATAAAAATCTTACAGTCCAGTCAAGGCAACTAGATGTGAAAAGGAACCGTCTTGAATTGATTTTATATTGTTATTCCATAAAGTTCTACAAATAATATGTTTATAACATTGCAATAGGATATAAAAAATACTGAACACTATTACAAGATTCTTAATAATACTATAATATTGTAACTATATAATTTTCGTAAGCGGTGAACAATTTATGCTTTATTTGAATAACATTAGTGAATAGAATATTATATAATAAGATATTCTTTGATAGGATCAAAATTATGGCCTTACAATAAAGTCAAATTACGAAGATCAGAGAACATTCCTTTGCTAATGGAGGTAAGTTGGTTAAAACCTATATCCCTAGTAGTTTATGTCAGTAGTAATATTAGAAGCCAAATTAATAATAAGTATGTTAATTAAAATCCATCGATTTGGTCCTTGAATATTAGTGAAAAACAATATATACAGGAAATATGAAAACTCAGAAAAAATTAAATTCTAGCTAACGAAAAGGGCTGTAGTTGAAATAGATTAGCAAGGTAATGCCTTTAAAATTTATCATTTTGCTTATGGAATAACCTTCAAGCGTTTTAATAAAGTATAAAAATCTTACAGTCCAGTCAATGCAATGAGATGAGAAAACGAATCGTCTTCAATTGATTTTATTTTGTTATTCCATAAAGTTCTACAAGTAATATGTTAACATAGTTATAGAGTTTAACAAATACTGAACGATTATTAAGAATTTTAATAGTATTACAAAAAGATCTATAATTTATCTTGTAGGCTATTGATTTTGAGAAGTACGGGGAACAATATACGATTTAATTCCATTTGCATTGGTAAACAGAATATTATTATATAATAAAAATTGCATCACACCATCATAATTACAAACTTACAAATAAGTCAAGCTGGAAAGGCCAGCAAGCATTTTTTTTGTGATGACGGTGAGAGCGTTATCTTCCAAATTTCTTACAATATAAGTCAGTAATAATTATAATAATAATGAAAAAACTTAACAATGTATAGTTCTTTGTAAATATACCCTTACAATTCTTTTTTTTATTATTAGAAAAAATACATTGCAGCTAAAAAAACACATAAATTAAAAAAAATTGTTATCTAGAGAATATTTACGTCTATTCTATAGCTTTTTCTTACTAACTTAAAATAATGATATACTGGAAATCTTACATGGACGTTACAGAAGTGTGTAATCTCGCTCCCAACGGTGGAAAAGTATCCAAGTTGCACCCTCTTAAATCCCTTTAAAATATGTATGCATTTTCGTAAAGCACGTTATAACATCAAGTATGATGCTAAAAGTTGTACTGAGTAGATACTTAATTATAGTCAAAAGTATATTATTAATTAAAAAATTTACTAGGTCTTCTGACTTTAAATTAAGATCATTAATATTATGGTCTTATGGGTTTTACGTTTACAATATGTCAGCAATATATAAGGCAGGCATTGGTGCTTACATTTCTTCATGGTCGGTGTATACCCCTGGACAATGAGATTCTTGTGTATACTGCGACGAACACACCCATCTCCCTTGAAAAATTAATATGAGTACGGCAAAGAGGCAGCCCACACGCGGCATACTGACAATGATTACCACTTTTGACATTAACTGCTCTTAAATACTTGCAGAATAGTGTTTATGTTAACTGATTAAATTTTTGCGTTCGTTTCTTCATATATTAACGCAATCTATCACCTCTTCCCTAGTTAATCTGTCTAGAAAAAACGCAAAACTCTCTAATATGTTTAGTTTAATGCTATGAATAATGAAGTAATATTATAAAAACCTTAACCAAATAATAAAAATTATATTTTACTTATTCATAAAAAAATACTTCTTTGAGTTTATAACTTCGTTTTTTTGTTGAAGAAGAAATAAAGTAATTCAATTTTTATTTATAAAATAAATAATATTTATTTTTTTTACTTTTTCTAGTTTTCATAAATATTTATAAATAGATATTATTTTAACTTATTATTATTTTTTGTACCACTAAAAATATACACGTAATATTTTATTTTTACATATATATAAGTTTTTTACCAGAATTTTATTAGAAAAAATGAAAATAATAAAGAAAATATATAAAATATTTTTCATTTTAAATAATCACTTTAATAGTGCTTTGATCACAAATTCCTTTAAGTTCGTTGTATTTAATGAATAGTTGTATTCATTAATTTTAATTTCCTTTATAATAACAAATCTTTATTATAATTAATTTCTTTTTGGGTTATAATAATAATTATATATTGAATTTTTTAAAAAAGTTTATACATCACAAAAAATTTCAAAATAATAATATCAATATAATGAAGTACCACATGAAAGTCAAGAACTTTTAAGAATGCACTTATAATATATGTATATTAATATACCATATTTATTTTATATGTAAACAAAATTATAACAATTTTTATTACCCATGATTTTAACGAGAAATACTGGGAATTATACATAATAAAAGTGAAATATTAGTAATTCCTACTTTTTTTTGAAGAGATGTAGTAAATATAATTTTTTATTTTGATTTCATTAACAAAATGTATACATTTTCTGTAGTTTACTTGATATTTCTATAGATTTATTATATTAAGTTTTAATACTTTGTATCAATCATTTATAGTTTATTTTAATAAAAATAATCGTAGCACGGGCTGGGAATACCAGATGATAATGCTATTTTATATTGAATTCCTTTTTAATTTCACTAAAAATAACTGGATGGCTGGTGTTTAGTTGAAGTTTAAAATAAACATTCCCATTTACAAATTGAACGATCAGGTAAGTTTTATAACGAGCTAAATATAATATTTTTATAAACGTATTATATTGCGATATACGGCTTATTTTTTCTAGATATTTAATTAGTATTATTACTATAACAGGGGTTTTACAGGGCCCCCTAGGGTTGTGGGCTGTTGTAGGAGTTTTGAGGGTTTGAATGCTTTACAAAAAATGTCATTACAAACGCACTCCCGTGCCTTGTTAGTCGGTTTCTTCAGATGAAATTATTGAGACAGGCCTCATTATCATTAAAATATTTTATAGTTAGCGAAAGTCTATAAACCTATTTATATACTATAAGATTTCAAACTATTTTTACAGTTCTATTCTGTAAGTAAAATAAACACCATTATTACCCAATAAAGCTAATATTAGAAACAACCATGAAACTAAACTTCTGTCATGTAGCTTATTTTTTTAGACAAAAGTTATAGTTTTTTTAATTTTTTTTTTTTAACTTATAGTTTAAGTTAGAATTATGTAAAATTATTTAATCCTGGTTATAGGATTTCAAATATCTGGTTACTGTAACCTAAGTGAATTTTTCTTTTTAGGTTTGAAAGGAACTTTAGTTTCTTAGTAATTCAGGTGTATAACACTTTACGAAATAATTGTATATTGTTAGTTACGCGAACACTTAGAGTTTCGTTGAATGTCTCGAAAGTTTAGCTTACGTCTTTATTTAAATTATTTTGTTTTACTAAGTATTTTGAACTTATAATTTCAATATAAAAAGCCTATTTTATTTTAGAGTTATAAATATGCAAACCATACTTAATTTTTAAAATTATTACAAATTTGAAAAAGTAACGTCAGTTTTTTTTTTTTGGTTTTTTATACCTGCCAAATATATTGTACGACAGAGTATATAGATATAAAAGATCTTATAAAACAGATAAATATAAGTGCATCTAAACGGAAGTATAAAAAAGTCAGACTAAAGGGTATTAAATTGCAGAACACTTGAAGTGCTAAGAAAAAAAGTAATTCAAAGGAATGGAAGGTAGCCAATTAGTAACTTATTTACACTACTACTGATAGATATACCAACAGAAGTATGTAAAACGGTTTACTTGACCGCAAAATCTACCTTACAAGATTTTAGAGTTTGAATTATATATAAAATATATATCTGATAACATAGATTGTAATAAATAAAGGGTGAAGATTACATTTTATTTTAAGTAAAAAAGATAAACGGATGGACCCTGGAAAAAGGCCTACAAAGGTTCGAATTTTTCTTTACAGTTTAACTTAAACCCAGACCGAAAATAAACAAAATAATTAACCTCGTGACTTGTGACCTAAGAATCTTCTCTGTGTCATGTGCTATCGTCTCATGTTGTTTATCAACGGTCATGTTGTTAACCCTTCCTATTGAGACTGAAAAAATGTGAAGGGTTTGTCCATTTCCTATAAAAGGCTCTATTACCCTCGGGATACTTAAAGCGTCAAATATCGGACTTCAACAATAGTAGGAGTATCAACCACTAGAAATCCCTAAAAATATCTAAAGGTTCCTCATTTGATATGCAATCTTGCAGACCTTATCCCTTGACCCACTCGCGTTACATGGGCATAAGGTTGCCTCAACGCCAGTGGCAACTTTCCACAAGGGTCATCGGGTGAATTCACCCTACGCATGTTTCAGAAAAGTAAAGTGTTTCGGGCAAACTCTTGTTGGTTACCTCTGCTTAAAAAGCCTGCATTACATCTCTGTTGAGCTGTAAATCAATCGTAACAAGCTCAAATATGCGTGAGTGGCACTACTATCAAGAGCCAAACCAAAGTTATTATAGACGTTTGTCTGGCATCAATAAAAAATTCATTGGGGTCAAAAACGTTTATATGCATTCCAATAAATAATTTAGATTTTAGATAGTTATTAGCTTCTCCCCTCGTGCTAGTCTTTTAAATTTTGATATTGGACCGGCCAAGAAAAAAGTAGTAGCTAAAATCATTGACAGTAGCTTGGAATACATTAAATTTTCCTTTATGCTTATTAGGCCGTGCTACAAAGGCGCCATTTCTTCAAAATCCCCTTTAACTTTAAACGTTTTTTTAGGCGTCACCTCAAATATCTTGACTACTTTATACAATTGTTCTCATTTTTCATGTATAGTGACTCCTTTTGGGTATACAACTGAAATAAACTTATTACCTTTATAATTTTTATTTCTAGGAACAGATTCAAAAAGGTTGATATATGACCTCTTTTTAAAAATGATCTCTAAACATTTTTAAAATTCTTCATTGAGTTTAAATCGTCTATTAACGATTTCAGTCGTACACCTAAAAGGAGGCTTTAAATATGATTTATCAAGCAAGGAAAAGAAAGTTGAAAGCATATAACTCTTGAAAAAAAAAGAAAGATCATTAGTGGCACTCGCTTTGCTGAAAAGGGGTTAACTTTAAAGTAGAAATATTAACTCTTAAGATTTCTGAGTATGTTCGAATGTACTCATCTACGATAATGTCCAAAGCGGCGCTTTTTTACCACCAATTCCATGGATAAGACCTTATTCAAGCTAATCTCTAAAGGGGGCTATTTCTTTTATTATAATGTACTATGTTAATTAAGGGTTTGCGGTATTTCTAAATAGTTGATCTTTAAATCTTCAGGAAGAAATGGTAATTCCAGGTCTCTCCGAATTGAACACAGGCACACTCAGAAACAGACCGGGGAGGGAATGCACATTAGTACCCTGATTCGAAAGAAATTCTCTTAATACTATCTCAAAAATAACCGTATAAAACCAAAAATTACAATCAGGAGAGTAAAAACCATTAAAAATGTTACGATCAATCGTTATAACCTTTTCTCGAAGAACTGACGTTTGAGAATAGTAGAAGGCAGCCTTCTAAACATTCATCTCAAAAATGCTCCTTGCCAGTCAATGAGATGAGGGCCAAAAAAAAAAAGGGTAAGTTAAACTCTACACGGTAACCGGTTAAGGAATACATAGATACCAGCCGCTTAAGAACATTTTAAATTTTTTCTCTTTCCCGCAGCACTAGCCGGTTTCCCTGAAACCATGGTGTAGCCATAATTATTACCCGGTAGTAGGCTTCCCGAGGTGTGCGGATGATAACCACTCTTGTAAGGTCTGAAGCAATTCAGAAGGGTACTGTAAGAGTTCATCTTGTCAGCACCAAAATTTTTGTAAGGCTAGTTATTGTTCTAAATGAGGGAAGTGATAGCATTGCAGTTAGGTTCAAGATTACAGAAAAATAAACTGTGGGTACTTTCAAAGCCGGAACTTTGGAGGAAAAGGACGTCAATAAAAATTGAATCAATAACTGTTCCAAAAATTTGAATGGGTATGCCTGCTTTTGAAAATGTGAAGAAGGCTAAGATTATTCATCAATTTTGTATATAACTTTAAACTTTTCATTATTATATAAAAATTCTTTATCAATAAAACTTTGGAGGTAAAAAAACCTCTATATTTTTATCACTTAGAAAGCAATTAAGTGCTGAAAATACTTATATAATTTTCCATTAATACAATGACTTTCGTACTTGATTTTATATTGGTTGGGGACAAATTTTCAAAAGGAACAGAAGAAATCGAAAGAGTTATAAAATCGCATAAAATACAAAACAGTTGTAAATAAAGAACATTATCAAGTCTGCCTCTCTTATTAACTTAATAAAAATAGAAATACAACCAAAGTAAGTACAAGTTGACGGTAAAAGGCCCGCTGGCAAATCGCTGACCTTAAAAAAGTGATTTGCAATGCGCACCATATCTGATCTATTTAACAGAGGTTGTCTTCTTAAACTGAAAGTCAACTAACCAATATTAACTTACCAAACTCTTCAATATTAAAGAAAAAAAGCAGTCATTAGGCCATCAATAACCCTTCTCAATAAAATCAAATTTTAAATAGAAGAAACATGAACCAAGAGTGCTTTCTAAATAAATCGGATAATTCTCCTTCAAAAAAGACCTGGAGAGAAACAAATAAGATATAAGTATCTAAAGAAGGAAGAACAAATGCCAAAAAGTGTAGTGATACAAAAAGTCTATACCACCTTAATTTTAACAAACTGTTGCCTACCAGTAGGAAATAAATTAATAAAAACTAGCGTTAATAACCAGTTCACTTCCCGATAATGTATATATACGTGAAAAGGTCAGTTTGAACATAGCATAAGTTTAAGTGCAAGTTCCTTTAGGAAGCGAGTGTTTTAGTAAGACGAAAACAAACGGGATTGATAGAAAAGTTAAACGGTTGGTTTCCTTAGTATTCCTTGTTAAAACACTTATCTTGACAACATATTTTGCAATAGAACAGGCAAAATCCAAGAATCGTATAAAATTTAAAATTGTCAAGTTAAATAAACAAAAAAAATTCATGTGATTTTTGTTCAAAGTAACAAGTCTAAAAATTATAGGTAAAATAACAAGTATTTTAATAAAAAAGGATATATTATAGATTGAATAATAGAATAACTAACCAAACAATAAAAAATATATTCAAAAATAAAAAACTAAAACAGCGAAATGAACAAAAAAAACAAAAAGAGAAAGCTGGAGACCAAAAAGACCAAGTATCTCACTTTATAGTACTGGCTTACTACAGTTGTGATTACGATCGATTGCTACTTAATTTACTGGAATTGAGAGTGCTAAAATCACAAGTTCCTTAACAATTCTATGCGCCATTAACGAGAATAGGTGCGCGTTATCATAGCTAAATAGTATATAGTAAAAAGACGTAAAAGCAAAGTAATAAAAATATTAAATGAAAAGGGATGGATTAGTTTCCGTTCCATAATATTATAAATATAAATATATATATATATATATGTAATTAAGTTAATATAATAAACTATAACCTTAGCCATAGCTTTCCCCTCTTTTACTAGGCCTAAGAAATGTTTTGACCGGGAGTACTTGGCAACCAAGGCAAAGTACTAATTAAGAAGCTGTCAAATAAGATAAACTTAAATAGGCTGGAGGGTACATTTCCTATGTAGTTAGCTGTTGTGCCCAAAGCAAGAGGGCACCCACCATTTTCAGAAGGGGTTTTTTTGTATTTGTAGTCGACGAATATGTTCGTTTAAAAAATAGACACAAGTGGTAGAGTCATAGACCATCAGCGGGAGTATAACTACGGAAACTCTTTTTTTAAATGCAGTTTGCTTTTCCTGCATAGTAAGGGGTCTAACACGGCTATAGCTTTCTTGGTTTTAAAACGACTTAAGAAAGATGCGGAGTTCAGCTTATTCCTTCGTCACGCGCAATTTCGAGATATCTAACCTTCTTAGATCGAGGAATGAGAGTTTACTAGGGATCTAGGGAAGTATCCTTCCCTTTGTTATAATTACAAAGCTACTTTTCGGCTAGTTAATTATAAGCCTCCCTATTAAAAACCATGTCTCAACTACTGTAAACTGAGACTGTACGTTTTTAAACACCAGACAGGCGGATTTTGAACTAGCAGATTTTGAACTATAATATAAGGCTGTGTTGCCAACGTAGTGAGCCTAGTTTCTGTTTTTTTTTTCGGCAGTTGTGGCATGTCGCGCATGTAGATAGAAAAAAGGAAAGGGGGTACTAAGAAACCTTGTGGAACACCCACCTTTGATTGTCTAAAAGCGGACTCCGATGAATTTACTCTAGCAGTTAAGGTTCTATTCTTTAGGTATGAGGTGTACCACCACAGTCAAGTAAAAAAGGGAGCTAGATCGTCGTGCCCTCTTTTACCGAAGAGTCTTCTTAATATATCTAAAAGAACGCACGTTTTACTTTTTTTTTTAAGAAAGCTCCTGTAGCTTCTCTCGTAAGCCTGATTATCTAGTGAATTGTGGAGTACTTAATTCGAAAACCAAATTAAAAAATTAGACAGGACGCACTTGCCATCCACTAATTCTTATAATTTACAAGGAACCCCGCTTCTACTTCCTTTCTAGGCCGGACAACAAGCTTTTTGGGTGATAATCTTTAATAAAACAGTTAGAGGAACTAATTATAGGAATGAAAATTATGTAAGCCAATTTCCACAGTTTGGGGAGGTAAGCTGTGGTGAATATTTGAATTAATTAACCTTAAAATCGTAGAGATAGCTCGTGAAATTAAGTTCTTAAGCATTATCAGGGCGAGGCTTTTCTAGTATTAAGGGATTGGATAATAGTTTTAAGATCCCGCACTGGTGATAAGCTTAACGTTGTTACATATGTTAGATCCTAAATGGTTAGTAGCTATGGTGAACACATACTTAAAGCGGTGCGCATTCTAATCGATATGAGTAAGCTTTCAGTGCATCAGCAAATGCCTCTACTATTTCGGAGGACATGGTAGCTGAGGCGTCCAGCACCATGGATGAGCGGTGTTATGCCCCTAGTCTCAGTAGTTCGAATGGTTCTTGTTAATTTCCTTCAAGAATTATTCTCTGGCCCAAAGTCCCTAATTTTTCTGACCAGCTTTAGTTAAACCAGGCTTTCAAATTCTTCTTAATTTCAAATATTGATTGTAAAGTTTTTTATCGCTTGGAAACAAGAGTTCGGATATCTTGCTTTCGCCTTCTCTTAATCTGAAACCTAATGTGGCCCATAGAGTTGTATTGTTGGTTTTTGTGGGCTTACTATAGTTCGCTTTTATAGCTCCTTCCATTTGCACAACAGCCGTGTCTAAATCAAGTATTTTCCCTATGAAGTGCTCCATGGTGTCTATGCTTGTCTAACTATTCCCGAAATGGGTGCCAAACTGGTTACTTTTTCAACGCAGGTTACCGAGACTGACTTATCTCCCATCTATACGAAGATGGGGTTAGGATCCGAAGAGAGTACAAAGGGTTATTTTGACGATAACAGGTACTTAAATAATTTATGATACTGTGATGATTTAAGCCAATAAAAATTAAATATTTTTGTCGGTCATTCCGGCAAACCTTATTTCATTGTCGCTCTTCCGCCTGCTATTCTACAAAGGGTTTTTGAAGTTTAAATCTCGAGACATAAAACCCCCCGCTATTTTAGGCATTACCTTGTCGAAATATTTGTAAGGGACAGTAATATTGACTATCCCAATGTAACAGAGCTCTATATTTACGCAGACAGCTTCTAAGGTTACCTCTATAAATTAGAACGCTTGGTGGGTAATGTTTTATCCAGTTAAGGCAGCTACGCCTTCTCCTCCAGTATCTTTCCTGTCGCATCTGTGAACAGAATAGTTAGGTGCCTTAAACGGTTACCTTCCTTCAGATGTGTACAAGATGTAAAATTTTGTCCAGGTTCATACGGGCAATAAATTTCTGAGTTGGCCTGCATTTAGATAATCTAAAAATTAGTTAATTTCTAAATTAGCTCCTTAATGGATCGCATTGGTAAGTGTTGCTACAAAGTTATTCTTCAGGTCGTTTAGGGAGCTGTATTAGTTGCTTCAGGTTCTAAGTTCTGTTTAGTAGGCGGTGCGTAGCTTATATTTTTTTTAAATGAAAACTTTCAGAATTCTTGAAAGCTTTTTTAGTTGAAAAGTTATTATGAATTTTTCTCAGAGGAGCATATTTCTGGTGGTTCTGCATCCTCTACAATTTGAAACATGCATTCTTGGGCAATTAGGGCAGGTAGGCTTTTCATTTTCGCTTTTAGTGCAGGATGTCGAGCCGTGAGGGCCATTGCATTTAGCGCATTTGTAGCTTGGCTTAGAGTATTACTCTGTATGTCCAAATAGTTGACATCTATAGCACTGACCAATCCACCCCCTCTTCTTTTCAGGGAATCAACCGACACGGCGATACACCCATTACTTTTCAAATTTAAGCTCTTGTTTCCCATTTTAGACGCCTTGACGGGTAGGGGTAGGGGTTGTCTTTCCTTTTCAAAGGAGCGCATTTTAATTACTTCAGACGGGTTGAACCGTTAAAACAGAAGAACCGCCTTTACAGTTTCTGTATCCATTTCTGGGAAAATATCTGGAATAACCACTTTAAACTCATTTTCAATAGGCAGCTTGTATCTGCAGAGGTTCCAATCTCCAAACTTTCCTCGTCTAACGGTCACCTTAGCTTATGTAACCCTCCTCTAACTTACTTTTTTTCCTTTAATACACCCATTTACTAAGATTTGTTCCTCTAGGTCTACAATTCTCGAAACTCATTTTAAAATCCCTCGTTTAAGCTAAGATCTTAGGGCTTTGTTTACCGATTAATATTGTAATAATCCTTGTAAAGCATTGAGCGCACCACTGTCTAATTTGGTGCCCAAAGTGTATTTTATCATTACTCAGTTTGGAACATATTTGCTGTATACATGTAATCAATTATTTGTCTAGCTTGGCGACGCTATTAAACGCAAGATTCCGGACACTGGAAAGAACACCATGTTCAGAATATCAGAAATTCTCTCTGCTGCACGCTAA